GGTTTGTACTATCAGAGGGCTAAAACGAGTACTTTACTTCAAGCTATACGAGATGACAAAGTAAAAGCCATGACTTCTCCAAAGCCGGTAGTTACTAAAACATGGAAACATGCCCCCAAAACCATCCAAAACCACTCACAACCACCCAAAAACCACCCAAAACCACCCAAAACCACCCAAAAACCACCCAAACACCACCCAAAACGAAAAAGGTCACGCAAGCACTCAAAGGCCTGGGCAAATAGGCTTGGCTACTGAGTTGAGCCTGGTTTCTAACCTGAATTCATTTCACTGAATTGTATCTTGCAACTTCTGCCCTTAGTCAGTGACATGTTTTTTTCCGAAGGGCTCGCTGGATTGCAGCACAATCGCAAGAAGTGCATCTCATTAAAAACGTGTCTTGAACATGTATTCAATGTAGTATTTTAGCACGTACCCTGCATCAGAGGTTTTTTTTCTACTCCCTTTCATGCTACGAGTGAAAGGAAAGTTGTCCTTTTCCTCGTAGAGTAGAAAAAACCTCTGCTCGCAGGGTATTAAGCACGTCGACATAACATTGACATCGGAGTAGAAGACATAAAATCCCACCATAAAAACACGAAAATACCTGCCTTTGGTCGCAAAACGTTTTTCATTTTACTGATATTAAAATTTGAGTTTGCGTTTACTACACGCCGATGTTTCTTGTATTCTCAGTTGTTAAAGTTCCTCTTAACGTCCAATTATCTGATCGTACCAGGGATATAAAAAATGTTCAGTATGATTGGTTAACGAAGAGAGCTTTAAGTGGATAAGGTTTGTGTCACTTTCAACTACGGTAAATGCTCCAATAGGCGGGAAGGGGACTTATTGGAGGGGGAGGAAGGGCGAGCTGTTACGGTATTTTTGTTTCTAATGAAGGGAGAGCTCGTTATTTAAAGAAAAAAACTAGCTCTAGAGGATCTACTTGAAATAACATCACTGCCACCAAAAGAGGACTGCCGCACTGGTTAAAAGGCCTTTGGCCAAACCACAGATCAGGCTGTATGGTAAAATTTATGTCTTGTCTATTTAATTAGCTCTAGAGGGAGAGCATGTGAAGTAGCTAATATCAAGTAAAAAATTACAGCCTCTCATCCATAACTAGCCATTTCAACCCCACCAACAGCAAAAAAAAAGCTCCATTGTTTTCTTTTTAATTTTT